AGATAGATGCCCACCCCATGCTCCTGCTGTGTGTCAGCCCTACCTGCTGGAGCCCCATTGCCCTAGGTCAGCCCAGCTAGGGAAGGCAGCCCCTCTCTCAGGCTGACAACCTCCCTCCAGGGAACAAGTGTTTGTTGTGAGTGGAGAGACCATGGCCAGGACTGCTGAAAGCCAGCAGTGCTCTGGCCCCAAGAGGAGCAGGCGGGCCTGCAGACCCCCTGCCTGGGCAGAGCCCTCCCGTGCCTGGCGCCTGTGTGTCTGCTCTAATCCAGGTAGGAGCTGAACTGTGTCTCCCAAATTCCTCTATCCAGCTCCTAACCCCAGGACCTCAGAATGCAGCCTTCTCTGGAACAGGGCAATGGCAGATGGGATGAGTTGGGAGGAGGTCACTCAGGAGCTGGGTGGGTTCCCAGTCCGACACCTCTGGTATCCTTATAGAAAGGATAGAAATCTTTGGATGCAGATAACGCACACAGAGAAGGCCGCATGAGAGTGAAGGCAGAGACTGAGGCGATGCTTCTCCAAGCCCAGGAATGACAAAGATTGCCCGCACCCGCCAGAAGCTAGGGGTTGGCTGGGACGGCTCTGTCCCCAGAGCCTGCAGAGGGCACACCCTTGCTGGCACTGCCGTCCGTCCCAGCTTCCGGGATGGTGAGCGTGAGTGAATGTTGTCTGAGGCCCAGGCTCACTGCACTTTGTTGTGGCTGCCCCAGGAAACTAACGTAAGGTCCTTTAAATTCTGAGCCCACATGCACGTGGAGATTTTTGAGTTTAAAAAAAAAGAAAAACGGAAGGGGGGAGCACATTTTTACTGTGGCTGAAACTGCTGTGTCTTTACAGCATCTTTGCCCAGCATTCCTGCGGCAGCCCCTAGGCCCCAGCTACCCCCTCCCCAGGTCTCTCCTTGGCGGCCCCACCAAGGGCAGAGGGCTGGGAGTTGATGTTTCCCCACTATGTGGTCTTAGACTGTCACTTCCTCCGTGAGAGCACCTGCCACTGGCCAGGCCAGGTGGCCCGACATGTCCCCTGCGTGGTGTGGACCCTGCCGGTCATCCCTCACCATGTCCTCTGTGTCATCCGAGGAGACATCTGCATGACCTGTCTGTGAAGGGTATGACAGGGTCTCCCCACAGCACTCAGGGAAGAGGTGAGTGTGAGCCTTTGGGATCTTGCATCTTCATCTAGCTGCATCCTGTGTGGAGTGGGAGGAAGAGCAGGACACAGCGCTCTGCCCAGCGACTGTGACCCACCCCCTCCCTGAGGCTGCAGCCACCACAGCCCCCCTCTCAGAGAAGTGGCCTGCAGACCAGAGCTTCTTAGGGCGTTCCGTTCATCCGGGCCGACCCGGTGAGGACAACCTGACGGTTAAGGTTGCAGGTCGGGTGGGCAGGTGCCCCTAGTCCTTCTGGGGTGCTAGTACAGGAGGGGCTTCAGCTTCAAAGGGGCGTGGGGGCCCCTGACCCACAGGGGCTGCTGCCATCACCCTGTCTGGCCTCTCTGGCTCTTCCTTCGGCCTCTCCTGAGGCAGTGGACATGCTGGCCTGCTGGGAAGGACGTTCTGGTGGAGCAAACACTGCCCACACTGGGGTCCCAGCTCCTACCTCTTCTTCACCTCCACCCTGCAGGCTCTCTGGGGTCACAGGATTCAGGGACATCAATCCCGAAGACAGACAATCTCCTTTCTAAGACTGGGGTTTTATAAAACATTTTTAGTCTTCTAAATTTCTTCACAGTTAAACTTAACCTCAAGGGAAGTAAATAAAATGAAGGAGCAAAGTGGGGCTTAGGATGGTTTCTTTAATTTACAGTAATGGTGGTTTGTGTTGCAGAGAGGGCCTAGGAGTGGGACAGGGAGAAGCTGCCTTCTTCCCCCCTCCCGGCCACCCCCAGGCCCGGAGATGCTCCTTGGGGTTCCCAGACCTCCTGGCTCTGGAGGTGGGAATGCCCAGCCCTCCCTAGCTTTGGGCATAGAGCGGGAGCCCCTGGGGACTCCGTGGTTGTGCATCTTCACATTTGCAGATGAAGTAACCGAGGAGCATGTCACAGCCTCCTCATTTTGGGTGGGAAGAAAACCGTCTTGGTGGGAGGTGTGGATGCTTTGGGGAGCTACCTGTGCTCCTTTGGAGAGAGGTGGTGTTTGTCTGGCATGGCTTAGGTGTGAGGCTGCACAGGACAGTCCAGAACTTTGAGATCATGCCCGAGCACATCCCTGGGCTGTGTCAGCAGTGGCTCTGTGAGGTCCAACATGGGAGCCATGTGTGGCTATTTAAGTTAATACAAGTCATGTGCACGCCAAAGTCCGGATCCTCCATCGCAGCTGTCACTGGCAAGGTGCTGGACAGCACCCGCAGCTGAGCTCCCAGGGGTTCCGTGCATGGTCCCCGTGCCAGTCTGCCCTGGAAACACGTCAGAGCATCAGCAACACTGTCTGTGGGCCTCAGACCTGCTGGACCAGACTCCAGGGGGTCCTGGCTCCCCTGTTTCCCCAGCCCTCCTGGGATTCCAATGTGGCTCAAGCATGAGGACCCCTGTCTGAATCATTTGGGAAGTGTTTGTGATTGAGTTTCATTTCTGGGTACAGGCCATTTAGTTTCATTTCTCTCACGATTTGCTGGTGACAGAGCCGGGTGGAGGAGGCTGGAGGGGAGTGGCTGACATGCCACATAAAAGCAGGGCAGAGGACGGGAAGGAGGTGATGTTCTCGGTCTCCATTCTGGACCTGCACTGACTGGTAAGAGCGGAATCTGCACAGGGAGGACCGTTCACATCGAAAATGACACAGATGTGCCTTTGAATATATTTCCTGAGGGACATGACATTTGCCTGGTGAACTTGGTTTGAGCCAGAAGTCAGGGGCCATGAAGATAAGTTTCCGACGCAGCCTGGTGTGAGTGGCAGGACAGGTTGGGTTGGCACCAGCCACGACAGCCCCGTGTGCAGAGGGAGGGTCCTGGAGGGGAGGTGACTATCTTTGGAACACAGGGTGGGCCCCAGCCTGAGTTTGTCTGTGGGACAGCTTTGGAGATAGCTTTGTTAAGTGTCCTACAGAGTTGGGGTGGAGCTTGCGCCCCAAAGCTGGTCTCTGGGGAATTCATTTGTGGTACAATGACATGGCCTCAGTGAAATGTCAGGAAACTGCCTCTCAGAGGGAGGGGCAGGTGGCTGGGGTGGGGAGGGACCTGGCTTCTAGCATTTGCCCATTCTCAAGGTGTAAATACTTCCCCACCTTCACCCACCAGGGCCTTCCTTTCCAGTAGTGCCCGGAGAGAGGGGCTGAAGCTCAGCCAGTGGGAGCCAACTCCAGCACCCCAGGCCCCTGCACTTGAAGTCCATTTGATAAACTGAGGCTAAGCATAAAGGAGACAGGGGGATACTGGTGAAACGTTTTAAGAACTGTTCTTTCTCATGGCATTTAGACGTTTTTCCTTAGTGGCTTAGGAAGAAGCAGGGTTCCAAGCCCCCTTTCCTTCCTCCCATCCTCCTCCTCCTTTAATCCACTGTGCTTTTTCTCCCCAATGGCACTCATGACCTCCCAACTCAGCTCTGTGCCTGTTCTCTGGCTCCAGGCTCAGAAGGTCAGCTCCCCTGAGGATCTCTGTCTGCTTGACTCCCAGATGAGGTCAAAATTTAAGTTTGAGAACTCATCCTAGAAATGGTGCTATGAACTTCACCACTGAATGTCACTTCAGTCACCTGTGGTGTTCCCCCCTTGGAAAGCTGTGCACTGATGCCAGAGCCTAGTCCACCCTTCAAAACGCTGTTTCTAGGATGAGATTGAGAACTTAATTGTCCGACTTCATACATGTCCCTAGGTCTTGAGGTGTCCAAGAAGTATCTTCGAATAAGTGAATGAATAACACCTGAATATTTTTACGGACACACGGAGGCAAGCACAGGCGATGAGGCTGTGTTCTGTGTCTGTGGCTGGGCAGCCACCACCCTGCAGGTAATGCTGGGGCTAGAGCCAGGGGATGCGGCAGAGTGACCCCTGAGCCCAGGACCTGCCCAGGGCCTGGCAGAGCTCTTGGACTGTTTGCGGAGAGCACTGGTGGAAGACACAGATTGCCTTAACTTCAGCAGGCTCTGCCACATCCCTCGAGGCCATTAGCCCCTTTCCAAGGAGTGGGGTTTGCTTTATCCTTAATCAAACCTCCAAACTGCGCAGGTCCCCGGGAGGGAGGCCAGGTGCAGGGCAGAGCGAGCTGCAGAGATCCCACTCCCAGCTCTGAACTACAATGGTGGCAAAGCCTTTGGCTTCCTTGTCTACAGGCTGAGTAGGTCCCCTGCCCTCTCCACCTCACAGGCTCTTTTGAGAATTCCAGGGGATGACAGAAGCAGAAGTCCCCTGGGAGG